ACTGTAATTATCTTTTTCTGTGATTTGAGAAGAGATTTACAGATGGTTTTTGCACCAGGGATTGAAAGATTCTCTAAGAATCATCAAACTGTCAAGTCAACATAATTGTACTAAAGATAACCTTTATATCACTAACAATGGTTGGATGGTGCTATATAGATACTGTAAATAGCTAAAATGAACTTGACCAACATTTGAACTTACAGATGGCTGTCCTCATCAATGGACAAAAATTACATAAGATGAATAATTCTCATCACTGCCACTAAACAGATGAGGCAATGAAGATGGAAATGTAAGGGGGGAAAATCCAATATTTTGGGAAGTTGGATTCAACAAAAAAAATACAATGGGGCTGAACTGGGTTTCTAAGAGTGTGAAGTTTTGTGCTGCGACCCAAAAAATCTGATATGAGAACTGTTAATATTGGAGTCTTAATTAATCTTCTACCTGTATACTTGTACATATATTGTGAGTTGCCATGTATTTTCAAAGATGACCAGATTTGAGTAAGTAACAAAACCTTGAAATCTCTCAAAGAATTTGCATTCAGACAAGCTTGCTAGCTGAACGCTGGATTACAGAATAACAGAGTTGGAAGGGATTTTGGTCTTTTGGTCAACTTCCTGTTCAAGTGGAAGACCTTGTACCTTTCCAGGCGAGTGGCTGTCCAATCTCTTCTTTAAAACCACCCAGATGGTGCATCCATAGCTTCTGGAGGCAAGCTGCTCCGCTGGTCAGAAAATTTCTCTTTAGTTCTAGGTTGAATCATTGCTTCTTGTCCTGCCCACAAGTGCTTTGAAGAATAGGTTGGACACTTCCTCTCTGTGACAGCGCCTCAAGTATTAGAAGACTGCTATCATGTCATCCCTAGTCTTTTCTTCTTTAGACTAGACATGTCCAGTTCCTGCAACGGTGCAACCCTTTATTGTATACTTTAGTTTCCAGCTTCCTAATCATCTTTGTTGTTCTTCTCTGCACCTTTTCTAGAGTTTCAACATCTTTTTAAATCAAACGCCACTACCAGCAACATCTGGTACATTCCTCTGGTTATGAAACCTTGCCTTTCACAAAAACCTCTGACAAGAGGTGATAACCCAGCCCTAGCTACAAAAACAATGCTCCAACTCCCCTGGGTGACAACAGTGGCCTCAGAATGGTTTACTGTTTACACAGCTTTCATTACCCATTTCCTCCTACCCATCATCATAAACAAACTTTTCTATTTCTAAATTGGTTTCAAAATCTAGAAATTTAGGGAATGTTATTGAAGAAGGTGAATATTGGTACAAAAAGTGAAGTGCTCTTTATGACTGTCTCTGTGTATTGGAACGATGTACATTCCAATTTTCTCTCTCTTTGTAGTCCAGTTTCTCTGTGAGAACGGATTGATTTCTCATCTATTAACCTTCAGTTCCCTTCTAAAGCTCTACAGAAGCAAAATCCTGTATCCACTCACCTCAAAATAAATCCCACTGAACTGAAATTATTTCTGAGTAGATCAGCATCAGATTACATGAATCAGTGTCTCCCTTCTGATCAATTTTATGTTTTCAAACTATAAAACTGCAGCTCATATGATATTTTTTCCTTTCTAAAAGCCACCTAGTCCAGATGTGATGAACAAGGTTTAAAGAATTTCTAAATATTCAAAATTCTACCACTATTCCAAAATTTATAATTTTATATAATTTCATTATATATATAGCAATAGCACTTAGTTATATAACGCTTTATAGTGCTTTACAGCCCTCTCTAAGCAGTTTTACAGAGTCAGCCTATTGCCCCCAACAATTTGGGTCCTCATTTTACCTACCTTGGAAGGATGGAAGGCTGAGTCAACCTGGAGCCTGGTGGGATTTGAACTGCCAAATTGTAGGCAGCTGGCTGCAGAAGTAGCTTGCAGTACTGCACTCTAACCACTGCGCCACAGAGGCTCCTATAAAATATATTGATGATGATGATGATGATGATTTTATATATATAACTCAAGTTATAAATCTCAAGTTAGTTTTTTTGGTTAGACTATTTTAAAAAATGTATGTATGTATGTATGTATGTATGTATGTATGTATGTATGTACCAGTATGTGTAAGAAAACTCAGGACTGTATTTGTTGGAAACATGCAGGAAAGGTCTTCATCCTGCAATGGATAGACAATGGCTAAAATGATGATTGCAGAATGAAGATTTATCCTGCATGTTTCCAATAAATACGGTCCTGAGCTTTCTTACACATACTGGTACTTACATACATAAATATATACATACATATATACATACATACATACATACATACATACATACATACATACATACATTTTTAAAAATAGTCTAACCAAAACTCAAAAACCAACTTGAAAATAGATGCAAGTTTTTTCATTACAGCTCTGTGTTGGAAATGTTCAGCCTTTCTGCAGAGTTGCTAGTTTGAAAGGCAGAAACGCTCAGAAAGTTCTAAAGAGCTGCGCAGGGTACATACCATCCAATAAAAAGTCAGTCTTCTGATATGGCCACTTGCCTAAGGAAAAGAAATTGATCCAGGTAACCTAAAAGAAAGAGTCTGCAGCCAGGTAGAAAAGCATGAACAGTTTGCAGCCAGGTAGGAAAGCATGAACGCGTAGGAAAATAAAGAAAACTCCACCCCCCAATTTTCCGAGCTCCCCTTTTTCTCAAGGGAAAGAGAAGAAGCTGGCAGATTATGAGTCCCAGGAGAGAACATCTTAGCAACAGACTTGTTTGAGCAGATTATCCCCGGTTTCCCAGAAAGGCACCTCTGATTTTAATGTTCTATCGTCTCTCCGCCTCTAATCAGATGTATTATTAGTAGGTAGGAATAAATGGGCTTATTGCCTATTCTGTCAGGAAGGCACCAAGCTAGGAAAAACTACTCCAGTTCTACATGATGTATGTACTGTGAAAAATGGTGTTCAAATTTTTTGGGGGGGAGAAGGAGATTAGACAGGTGACTGATAATTGGAGTCAGAAAAATTGCATCAAAGTTAGCCTAAGTTTGGGCACTTTCTCTCTGATAGCTGGGCTATAACCTCTTTTTAGCTCCTCATCAGCATACATAGGAGATACACAACGAGTGCCAAGATGGGTGGGGGGAATGTCCACAATCTCCATGCAGTTCTTAGTGATCTCTGAGCTTGGCTTGCAGAAGTTTCATAACCCAACTAGGTGACATCATCAGTGCGAGAGGGAGTTGGGTTTGCTCTCTGTTTATACACAAGTGGCTTGCCCTGTCAGTTTCAGAGAGAGTATTCTTGATTTTCTGCACCAAAATAATCAAGCCCAAAAAGCACCAAGAACTCCATAGTTCAACCCTGAGCTAAAAATATTCTCTTCTATCAATCTACAATCTCCTTTTGGAAGAAAGATACCTACTGATTGAATGGCAAACAGATGCTTTCAGAAAGGCTAATTTTGAATGAAATATGTGACTACTCATAGACATCGTCATTCTATCCTGATCTTGATGGCCTTCTGAAAGGCTAAAACTAGCGTTGCTGGAGGGAGGATGTTCCACAAGGTAAGGTAGGTGTAGTCATGAAAAGGGAACATTTTCAAGGTCCTCCTAAATGGCAAGATTTCAGGAAAGGGTCTTGGAGAAGATTGTCAGCTTAATATTAATGTTACTAAAAAAAAGGAAAACAAAAAGACCTACCAATCAATACAAAAGTATGCTCATCTCACTATTTCTAGCCATAAGTTAATTTCCTCTTTCCAATTTGCATTTGGTTTGGTTCCTGTATAGGTTATTTAATCTAATGTGAAAGAAATGTATCCATGCATCTATATGAGTGTGCCTGAATATGTACATATGTGGGAGAGAGAGACGGGGACTAGCTAAAAGTCAAACACCCACTCTCTGACAAAAGATTAGGCCAAACAGAACTGCACATCTGAAGGCGATGCCCAGGGCCATTAATTTATCACCGCAGCTTCATATCTGGCTATGCATCTCTAGTCTGAAAGCCTAATTAGCCCGATAGAGATCAACATTTTCTGCTGTCTTACTATTGAAAACTTTAGAGAAGATGACACATTGCTTGGCCTTTTTTTCAGAAAGACCAGAGGGAACTAAAGGATGAAGCAGAAAAGAGCTAAAGTGCCTAAGTGGCTACAACTTTTTCTTATCTCAAAAAAGAATTCTTCAAAAAAACATGTTTTTGAATCATGGACTGAGATTTTAATTAATAATATTAATTAATTCTCAGAAAGAATACAGATTTCAATGGACAAACTTTTAGAAGATGATGAGAAAAACTTCAAAATATTTTTACCTGACATAGATATTATCTAGTTTGAAGGCATGGAAGACAACATCATTGAGATCATCAAAATGGGAAAACAAAAGACAATTCAAGAAAGCAATCTGGGAACAATTATGGCAAGAAGTCCTGACAATGCCTCTTCATGGCTTGATGAAAGCTTTGAAGACTCCTTTTAAATGCCAAAGGATTTTATAATTAATTAATAATCAAATCCTGCAATGCCACAGGAATGATTTTGTTATATATTTGAATGTTTGAATGTTCCGTTCTGATTGGTTCGGCCGACGGCGGGAAAATTGAATAGCCGTCATTGGCCAAGAGCCGCGAGCAGCTGCTATAAAAGAGGCTGCTGCGGCTCCATTGTTGTTCAGTTACCGAGAAGAAAATTAAAAGCAACTAAAGATTAACTGGTCTCGAGTCGTCTTTCCCACAACTTAACACTGGCGACGAAGGTGGGATACTGAGACAAGGAGACCAGTTCAGCACGTGGCAACGAGAACTGAGCTAGACGAGATGGCCGGCAACAACTCGCCACCCGCACCGTTCAACCCAGCAACGGAAGACTGGGAATCGTACATCGACCGATTCCTCATGTTCCTAGAAGGGAACGAGCTCCAAGAAATTTCTGACAATAGGAAGAGAGCCGTTTTCCTCACCCACTGTGGACCCACATTCTTCAAAATGGCAAAGGCATTAGCGTCACCCCACGATGTAAAGAAAATGGCGTGGCCGGATTTAGACAAGTTACTACGAGCCCATTATACACCAACCGTCTCATGCCTTATCAAGCGACACGAATTTTACAAGCGCGACCAAAAGGAAGATGAAAGCATCAGAGATTCTGTCGCAGCCCTAAGAGACATTGGAGGAGCGTGCGAATTCCTAAACATGGACGAGGCTATGAGGGACCGCGTGGTTCTTGGATTAAGAGACCTTACACTACAGAGCCGACTACTGACCAGACCCAAAATAACATTGACCGAGGCAATAGAAGAAGCCACCACAGCAGAAGCAGCACAAAGATTAGCAGCCACCATGCGACAGATGAATAAAGTAACACAGGAAACCCTGAAAGACACTAACCAAGCTCAAAACAAGAAGCAAGAGGAGACTCAAAAAACCATCACCACGACATACCATGAGGACATTGAATCCCTATCCGAAACTGATGAGGAAGAAGAAGAAGTAAATCAACTTCGGTCGGAGAAAGGCAGATGGGAGCACAGGGAAAGAAAGTCGGGGTTTCATTGTGCCGGGTGTGGAGGGGACCACCCATGTTCTGAATGTTGTTTCTTTGATGCTATTTGCAGGCATTGTGAATGGCGGGGACACATAGCTAGGGCATGCCGAAACAGAAATAACTATAGCCCTAGACGAAGAGGAAATACACCCCCCACCAGAACGAGAGAAAGACAGACAGGGGGCCGTTGGAGCCAAGACAGCAGAAACAAGCGGTGGAAAAAAGCCAATAGAAAAGAAGAAACACACCAGACAATAACTATTGGACACTCGAGTGCAGTCAATGCAAAGAAGGTACTGGTACAAGTCACCATAGAAGACCAACCATGTGAGATGGAGGTGGATTCCAGTTCATATCTGTCAATGGTATCATGGAACACTCTCAAAAGCCTGATACCTGACATGAAAAGAAAGGAATCAGAAAAACAAAAACTCACACTTAAAGACTACCAGGGAAACAGAATTCCCGTAGTTGGAACCGGACACTTCCAGATCAAATTTAAAAAATACACGAAAGTCCTTCCATTGACCATAGTTGACCAGGATCGCCCCAGCTTACTGGGACTCGAATGGTTCGAACCGCTAGGAATTGGAGTGACCGGAATAAACAACATCGCTGAGACAGACTGGGAAGAGAACCTGATGAGAGAATTCCAGGACGTCTTCAATTAAGAACTGGGCAAGTACCGAGGGTCCCCTATCTCATTTAATTTGGATCCTAAGATAGCCCCAATAAGGTTAAAGGTGAGACGAGTCCCTTTTGCGTTAAAACCAAAAATTGATGAACAATTAGATAAACTTATCGCACAAGGGGTATTAGAACCAATAGACCACGCAAGGTGGGAAACCCCAATTGTGACTCCTATCAAACCAGATGGGTCCGTACGCATCTGCGGAGACTACAATGCCACCCTCAACCATGCGCTACAACAAAGCGCATACCCAGTTCCAGTGGTACAGCACCTGTTACACTCTTTGGGGGGAGGTAGAATTTTCGCAAAATTAGACCTTGCGCAAGCTTATCAACAGTTGCCAGTTGACTCAGAAACTGCAGAAGCAGAAACAATAGTGACTCATAGAGGGGCATTCAAATGCAAAAGACTACAATTCGGAGTTAGCGTGACCCCAGGGGTATTTCAGAGTCTAATGGAGCACCTATTGCAAGGAATTAAAGGGGTAGTATCATATTTTGATGACGTGCTGGTATCAGCCAAGGATGAAAAACAACTCGAAGACCGTTTGAGGGAGGTCTTACAAAAATTTAAAGAGAGAAATGCCAATTAGCCACCGATAAGGTTGAATTCCTGGGATACCTTATAGATAAAGAAGGGATCCACCCCACTGAAAGGAAAATCAGAGCAATCAAGGGAGCTCCCAGACCCGAAAATAAAACAGATTTACAGGCCTTCTTGGGACTTATTAATTTTTACAATGTATTTTTGCCGCAGAAGGCAACGATAGCAGAACCGCTACACAGGTTGCTAGATAAGAAAGCTACCTGGACCTGGGGGTGATGAGAAGAAACCGCATTCCAGGGAATCAAAGACTTAATTACATCAGATTGTGTACTAATCCAATATAGCGAGACCCTGCCACTAATGTTAACCTGCGATGCGTCACCCTTTGGCGTCGGGGCTATACTCAGCCACATATTACCCAATGGAAGAGAAGCACCGATCGCATTCCATTTAAAAACTCTATCAAAAGCGGAGCGGAACTACAGCCAATTGGATAGAGAAGCGCTGGCCGCAATAACAGGAGTTAAAAAGTTCCACGAGTACATCTATGGCAGGAGATTTTCACTGATCACCGATTATAAACCTCTTTTAGGAATACTCGCAGGAAACAAACCCACACCCAACATATTGTCACCGCGAATGACGAGGTGGTCCGAATTCCTTGCTGCATACAACTACGAATTAATCTATCGGCCAGGAAAGAACATAACACACGCTGACGCCCTGAGCCGTTCTCCCCTACCTGAGTTAGAGGATGATCCTGCACCAACCACATCAACACTGCACATCGAGATGCTGGCAAACCTACCCATAACAGCAACAGACATTGCGAAGTAAACCGCGAGAGACAGAATCCTGGCGCGGATTTTAAATTGGGTAGGTAAAGTGTGGACAGAGACCGAAAGCGACGAGACCATTAAACCATTCCAGCAGAGACAAACTGAGCTGTCAATTTTAAAAGGATGTGTACTGTGAGTGATCATACCAGACAGATTGAGGGAACAAATACTTAAACTATTACATGAAGGTCACCCAGGTATTGTCCGAATGAAATCCCTGGCTAGGAGTTATGTATGGTGGCCAGGGATGGATTCGGATATAGGGAAATGGGTAGCAATGTGCAAACGATGCCAGGAATCTAGACCTGCACCCCCTTCTGCACCTGTACTTGACTGGGAAAAACCTAGGGGCCCATGGTCTAGAATACACATTGATTTTGCTGGACCAACAAAAGAGCATACATTCTTAACAGTAGTAGACACTTACTCAAATTGGCTAGAGGTAAGCATCATGCATTCAACCACAACAGAAGCTGTTATTAGACAACTAAGAAAGCTTTTTGCAACGCATGGATTGCCGGATTTACTTGTATCTGACAACGGACCGCAATTCACTGCACTAACATTTGAGAGGTTCCTAGCCGAACTAGGTATAAGACATGCTTTAACAGCGCCGGATCAACCGGCTACAAACGGACGGGCAGAATGCATGGTCCATTTTACCAAAGAAACATTACACAGGCTAGAAGCTGGAGATATCCAGGAAAAAATATATAAATTGCTAACGATACAGCACATCACGCCAAATGCCATGACTAACAAAAGCCCAGCAGAACTATTGATGGTAAGAAAACTAAGATCTAGTTTAGATAGACTACACCCCACATATAGCACAGAAAAACCAACAGACTCCTCCAGTAAGTGCCGTACATTTAAAACAGGGGACCTGGTCTATGCAAAAAACCTAACGGGGGAGCCATTATGGATACCAGCTAAAATAATCCAAGTAACAGGACCCCGGTCATACAGGGTAGAGACGGACAACGGAAAGAGCTGGAGGAGACATATAGACCAACTCAGATCAAGGGCCATATTAAGAAACACCAACAACCAAAGGGAAGAAGGGGAAGAGCCCACACAAACACAAGAACCAAATAAAACTTTAAACCAAAATAATAACCAAACCAGAGGGGGGGGAGACCCCTCAAACATAAACAAGAGGGGAGGGGGAGACCCTCCACAAACACGAGAAATAACAAAACAAACCCTAACAACAACACAACAACTAATAGCACCATTAGCCCCGAGGGGAAATCAAAATCATCTACCTGGAGAAGAAAACTTTGGAGGACTGGAGCAGGCATCAGAATACCATCACGAAGCCGCTCCTGGCAGGAGCAGCCAAGCCGACTCAACCAGCCCGGAAAGGTCAGGCGGGAGCGGCATGGCTGACTCCACCTTCCAGGAGGTTCCACAGAAGAGGACAGGAGGAACAGCGAACCCATCCGAGCAGTCCAAAGACAACACCACGACTGAATTGCGCAGGTCCAGTAGGAACCATAAAAGCCCCACCTATTTACGTGACTACGTAACATAGGGGTGGCCTGATTGGTGGGACTGTACCACATAGGGTGGGGTATTATATGTTTGAATGTTTGAATGTTCAGTTCTGATTGGTTCGGCCGACGGCGGGAAAATTGAATAGCCATCATTGGCCGCGAGCCGCGAGCAGCCGCTATAAAAGAGGCTGCCGCGGCTCTGTTGTTGTTCAGTTACCAAGAAGAAAATTAAAAGCGACTAAAGATTAACTGGTCTTGAGTCGTCTTTCCCACAACTTAACAGATTTAAGGGTCAAGATTGTACAGAGGAAAAAAGAAGGAATATAACATTGGACTATTTGATCAGGGATTAATAATCTGTTTGATACTTCTGGTAACTCCTAATGGATTTTTTGTTGAAGTGGTGTCTAGATAAAATTTAGTCATCGGGAGAAGAATATTTTTTTTAATTGTGATTTTTAAAAGGGATGAAAAGTCAGTATATGACTCGGAAATATTCATACAAACAACATTTAGACTAATTTGCATCTCATAAAAAAGTATTTAAAGACCTGTGTTCTGACAGATGAGCCCAATTCAAAATGCATTGACAATGTCTCCTTGAATGGTGATGAAACGTTTGCAACAAATTGCCAAGCTTGGAGCTCAAATCAACAGCCTAGATTACATTAGTTATTACTATGTGAATGAACAATTTCAATAACATTATTATTATTATTTTTAAAAAGAGGAGGCCTTGTTGGGACAATTGTGTTTATGACATCATTGCCCAAATGTGACATTTATGCCATGACACCATAATTTGTGATGTCATCATGGTTTTCACCAGTCTCCTAGGGCAGGGATATCAAACTTGCGTTGGTACAGCAGCATCACATGATGTATTATGACTTTTTCTCTCTTCTCTAAACCAGGCATGAACATGGCCAAAGTATGACACATCTAACCCATGGACTTTGACAGCCCTGTTCTAGCTTCATCTGACTTTTAAAACATAATGCTGCTTTTCCTGGAAATAGGCAGAACACAAAATACTTTGGGACCGTTGAATTGTTTTCCAGCTAGATGAGTCTATCCTCTCAGGATTTTGTGCAATATAATATGTCCTTTTTCCACAAGCTTTGCCATCTTACCCTGCCCACAGTGATATCCGCTGCAACTTATTAGTGTGTCTGTACTAATGAAGTCAATATTAACGAGGCTGCAAAGAAGTAGGACCGCACAGCCATCCACTTTCCATTGACAGGCCAGCAGTGAGTCACCTTATAGTATGAAAGAGGTTTTCATTAGTGCGATGTTGACAAGACCTTTCAAGTAGGGTCAATCCAATACAAATAGTTCAATAATGAGAATGAAGTAATGGAGCTAACTAAATCCTTTGCCT